CACGCCCCCGTCCCGGACACGCCCCCTTTCGCTTTTTTCATCACTAGCCACTCTTATCCCTGCATATTTGCTTGACCTACCAACAGGATCTTGATCAGGGGTGTCAAACTCATTTTGGTTGTGGGTTGTAGTTGAGCCTTCCTTCAGAGGGCGGGTATGTTCAATCGTGTCATTGCATTGTTAAATACCTGTACACAACAAACTGATGGACTAATAGTTTTGAAATCCAAAAGACAATAGTTTGTTCAATAATTGTTCATGTTACAGGAATAATAACAATAATAATTTAAAAAAATAAATGCCAACGTTACTTATTACAGGTGAGAATTTAAAAATTTGGTTCAGATTTTAGCTAGGGTCATGGAAGTTGACATGATTTGCTTTTGCGGGCCATATAGAATGATGTGGCTGGCCGGATCTGGCCCCCGGCCTTGAGTTTGATGCTTGTGATCTCGATCTTCTGGATGACCTCAACTATATGGGATGAATTAATCACAACTATCTGCCCCATTCCCAGGTAATGATTGTGATTACTGGCGCACACAAAGCCTTTGCACTGTATAAAGCAATAGAAGAAGGAGTGAACCACATGTGGACAGTCTCGGCATTTCAGCAGCATCCGCACACCATCTTTGTATGTGATGAGGATGCCACACTGGAGCTACGAGTCAAAACAGTGAAATACTTTAAAGGTACAAATGCAGCAATGTGGCTCATTCTCAAATCTCATGTAAAACTTCCAACAGTCTTACAAATTAGTTTAGAATGCTCTTAATGTGAAATAACCATTGGATTAATTTTTAATAATTTTCATCTTAACCATATTTTTTTCCCCTCTGTGTCTGTGTGTAACTGACTTTCGCAAATGTGATTGTCATTATAGGTTTGATGCATGTCCACAATAAACTTGTGGATCCTGTGCTCAGCGTTAAGGACAAGTAACACCGAAGACTACCAAAGATGGTAGTCTCTTCATAAATTTAACATTAGAAGGGAGGAAAGAACAGCATTGTCTTAAAAAATGGCTGTGTATTGTCAATGAATGTGTGAGTGTGTTGACTGCAACTGTTGCTGCTCCTAGAATAGTGAAAAAAAAACCACAACAGTGTTACCCCTTTTTGTGTGTGTGTGTGTGTGTGTGTTTGTGTGTGTGTGTGTGTGTGTGTGTGTGTGTGTGCGCGCGCAAGGCGTATTTTGTTACAGTCAGTTGCCATGTGATCTGATGTTATAGGAAAGTAAAAAAATGATTCGGAGTGTAGATTAGCACGAGGGACTGGCTATTCACACGCTTGATCTGCAAAAACCACGACTTGTAATTAGCTGATATATATTGGTTGTTAAATGTTCTAACATTTGTTGATGATGATCCCCCCTCCCCCCCAAAAAACTAGCTTCAAGCACATCTGACGACTGTGCAGGCAGCTCCTTCAGCGCTGTGACGGCCTAGCTAGCATGATGGCTAAACCGTAGTTAAGCTAACCATTAAATGTGGTCATGAAACACCAACATAAGTTCTTGGTGCTCTGGTCCAACTTTCAAATCTGACTGGAGTTCAAGCAGAGGGTAACCAAATGTCGAGAGAGAAAATATAACACACACCACAGTCCAAAAACTGGAACCAACTTAATGTTACAATACATTATTGCATACGCCATAAGACTCAGAGTCCGAAACGCGATCCCCCTCTGTCACAGGGTTTATGTTCCAGGACACCCCTGTGGTAAGTGAAATCTGCAAAAGAAATAACACCCTAGGCGTGTTTATAGCCTTTACGGTACTCACATTTTTTTAAGGTCTTTCAACACACTTAAAATGATATGAACACATGTAAACATTTATAGTGTGTTAGGAAAAAGGCCAATGAATAACAAATTGTTGTAACAATGTAACAATGTCTACTGACAACAAGAGCTGTCACTGCTGAATCATTTTTTAATCGATTACGACCATCAAATAATTGCATACCATATTTTCATGTCCATCGTCGCTCCCTTTGACAATGTGGACCACAGTTCAGACCCCAGTCATGAACGCTAACATCCTAATGGGGATGCTAGACCCTCATTCCAAGCCTGTGTTAAAAATGAGTGGGATTCATCAAGAAGAGCATCTGGTGTAAAAAGTATGCCAACCATAATCACTGTGGTGACACCTGGAAAATCTCACTGATTGCAGTGTCAGCTTTCTACCAAGAGATGGCGCAGGCCGATTGTAAAATGGTAATGAGTGGTTTGCATAGAAAACGTTGGACATATGTGGCCTGGAAACGTCTGTGTGGATGGCGCACGATTGTGCCGGCAACGCCCGTGTTTAAAAAAAAAAAAAACTTGCGCCAGACGATTTTTGATGATGAATGTAACGCAAGAAAGTACATTCCCATTGCAATGCCGAAATAAAGGACTCTGAAATTGATAGACTTGTCATGTGTTGAACTGTCGGAAATGTTCTGCCTGCATGAGTACTTTTTTTTTTGTTTTTGTTTGTCCCGAACACGGTTATGGGTAGCTGCTGGCTGACTGTGTTTCTTTTGTATACCTGGGAGGCTCCATTAATGCAAATTTTGAACGACCCATGTCAGGATCAACTCTGCTTACAACAGGTACATTTTGCACGGGAAGGTAAAACAAAAGTGATCAGCTAAACGTTAACTGACACTACAGTCGCCAATCAGCAGTTTTCTAAACAATAGCGACACCTGATTGGCTGAAACGGTACATACGGGTATTTTTTGTGATGCATTTATGTGTGTACTTGTGCGCTGTTTTTGCTGCTGTGATTTTTCATGCTCTAAGACTGGTAGGAGAATTTGTTTATATGTCAATCATATTAATTACATTTGGGACGAACACACAACCTGACTCGAAGTTACAGTCACTGTAATAACCTTCTCAACTTGACAGACAGACGGACAGAAAGACAGACAGACATTATATTGTCGGATACAAGAGACGGAATTTTTCTTTACATGAAAACAGCAGCACTGTCATACGCATGCAAGTCACTGGAAAACATGAACACATACAAACGTTAACATTTAACAAACACACCCACTACGGTGATCCCTCACTTTTCGCGATTAGTGGTGATCGAGACCCTGCCGCGAGAAATGAAATACTGCGAAAGAGGATTTGCTCCCCGCTAGGAATTTTTGTGTCAGTGTATGTGGGTACCAGCATGTTTAAAATATGTAAACAGTGATTATACTTGACATATTTGATACAAAGACGACAGCAATACATGTATTTACTCTTTAATTATAAAACCTTATAGAGTAATTAATATTCATCAGCACTGCCTTCTGAGAGAGGCGAAGAGACTTCGGTTGGTGGCATACAAGGCAGCCCTCACTTTCCGCTCTGCCGGTGTAGCCGCCGTTGGCCTCCAGCTATCTCCTGGCCAGCTATCCCCGCGCAGCTGACGTGTTTATGATAAGACAATCGATATTGATGAGGAGGAGGCGAAGAGAGACGTGCGGCTGCTGCTATAAGCCCAATCTCTCTCTCTCTCTCTCTCTCTCTCTCTCTCTCCCCCTCCCTCCACTTACCTTGTGTCTCATCACACTGCATGCAAGATGCACAGCCTATCAGCTCACGGGATAAATCCGCTCGTGCTGCCATTGGTCGAGGTTGCGCTGGGAACTAATCATGCACCTTGAATGAGTGCCCGTTGCCTAGTTGCAAGAGTAGTTGTGATGGCAGAGGAAAGGGTTTTATTGACCAGGACCAACTGCCCCTTGTTGATAAAGAAACCAGTGAATCAAACATGGGTTCACTCCACAAATGAGGACCGTAGAAATTAAAATGCTTGATTGGATTGTATTGAAGGCACATGAAAGCTATAGAAAGAGAACTACTGCATAGTTAGTGGATTTATCCAAGTGTGGAATGGATCCAGTTTGCTCTTCACAGAGTTTTGGAAATGATGGAGCAGGATTCTTGAGAGCCTTAATGATTTCTGAAGTCAATGTCTGGGTTCGAAATCCTTATTTTCTTGAGCACGCTGAATTTTGGTTATTGGTTTTTATGGTTAAGTTTTCTATGCAGTGGGAACTGGGCATGAGTCAATAGATATGGGTTTCCAAATTCGGTCCTCGAGGGCCCCTGTCCTGCCTGTTTTGCAGCTCTCCCAGGAGCATCATACCTGATTCAAATAATCAGGATCGTTCTAATGCTACTTCAGAGCTGGCTGATGATTTGATCATCTCAATTAGGTGTGTTGCTGCTGGAAAATGGGCAGGACGGCGGTCCTCTAGGCCTCTAGCTGGACATGCCTTATTTAGGGTCTTCTGAAGCATTAACTTGTCTTTAAAAACAATGACCGTATCATCAGCCTGTATCACTGATTTTAAATTATTTGTGAAACATCTTCATGCCCTTTAAATCTGAGTTGTTCACTATAAGCCAGGGTTGTCCGACTCATTTTTGTCGTGGTGACAGTGAAACTTCAAAAATGTTTCATTGTCTCATTGCATTATTACTTGTACACAACTAATTCAATGGATTACTAATTTTGAAATCAGTCATCTGTAATAGTTTGTTCAATTATTTTTCATGTGAGCACGGGGTAACAAAAACAGGTCAGCAAAATCTCAACGTTATTAATTATACATGACAATTTTACATTTCAGTAGAGATTTTAGCATAGATCATGCAATGTGATACACATCATTTTCTTTCGTGGGCCTCATAAAATAACATTTCATTAAAGTGACAAATCACAGTTCAACATCTGTGCGATAAGCCAACAATTGTGTGCATAAAATGAATAATTTTGGCAAAATCCTTGTTTAATTTTTGGGTCACTTCTTGTCGATTGTGGGGCATTTGTAGGTCACTTTCTGTTGATTTTGGGACACTTCCTGGTCACTTCCTATTGATTTTGAGTCACTTCCTGTTGATTTTGGGCTACTTACGGGTCACTTCTTGTTTATTTTGGGGTACATCTGGTTCACTTCCTATTGATGTTGTGGCACTTCCAGGTCACTTCCTGTTATTTTTGTGGCACTTCGGTGTCACTGCCTTTCAAATTTGTGGCACTTACAGGTCACTTCCTATTGATTTTGGGGCTCATCCGGAATAATAGTAGTAATAATCATAATAATCATCTCAATATTATGAATAAAATAATGTCAGTCATAATAATAAAAATAATTATTGTTTTTTATAAAGCTTGGATAATGTATGAATGCCTACTGAAGCTTCAGTTTTTTTTTTTCATTAACTAGCACTTTGAATTTAAACAAATGGGCATTTCGTGACAAGAAATTCTGCATCATCTTCCATCATGTATTTGATCATAAAAGTAACGACTGAAGGTTTTACTATTTAATTGCTTTGATTTTTCAAGGTAACAAGTTTACTGTGTTCCAAGTAAACTCAATATTTCCAATGCACTGTGGGGGTTAAAGAAACATGTGCAGAGAACTCTGAAGGAATTTGATTCATTGTTTATTTTCTTTTCATGCTAGCAATGTTTATAAAATGATTAAAAGGCACTCCTCAACAATTATTTTCTCTGGGAAAAATTGGTTACTGGAAAATCTGATTGGCTGGTCATTTGAGTCACCTAGTTTAAACTGTCGCCAACCAATGAGACGGATTAAACTGTCCGTGGTGTGGACAAGAATAATAAGAGATAGTTTGTTCCAGCAGCGTATGGTTCAGTGTTCATTATGATAGGAAGAGACGATGGCTGAGGCGATAGGGAATATGACAGGTGTGCAAAGAGCATGAGGGTTGAAATGTGAACTGAAAACGGGTGTGGGTGTGGATTTGGGTTTTGTGTCGTACGGGTGGAGAAGAATGAATGGCATACTGGATGTTATGCTATGTTCACACCGACGGGGAACATATTATAAACCAGTGGTCCCCAATCCCCGGGCCGCGGACTGGTACCGGTCCGTGGGTCATTTGATACCGGGCCACACAGAAAGAATAAATAACTTGCATTACTTCCGTTTTATTTATTTCACATTCTGAAAGATGTATTATTTTGCACAATTGCCGGATTCTCTGTTACGCCGGTCTACAGCATGTCACACTTATCGGTCACGTGATAGGTTACCGCTAAAATGAAACCCGGGAGCGAGCAAAATGTT